AAAAAAAAAAAAAAAAAAAAAAAAAAAAAAAAAAAAAAAAAAAAAAAAAAAAAAAAAAAAAAAAAGGGGGGGGGGGGGGGGGGAGGAAAATTTAAAAACCCCAACTTTTTTTTTTTTTTTTTTTTGAAGCTCTTACAACGAGAAAATGGAGGGGACACATCTGGGTGGGAGGGGGGAGAGGGAGGAGGGAGGGAGGTTTTGGTGATGGGACACAATAACTAACTACATTGTATATTGACAAAATAAAAAAAAAAAAAAGAAAGAACACCAAATAGCCAATAAAAGCATGAAGTTTAATGTCAAATAAATACACATTAACAGTCAGATATAGTTATTTGGCTGTCATATTAGGAGATTATTTTTAAAATACCTGTTTATTCACTTAACAAATATGTATTGAACATATGCTAAGTGCTTCACATTACACTAAGTGCTGCATGTACAGGGGCATAAACTAGATTATGGTCCTTGTCCCATGGAACTTGCATTCTAGTGTGAGGAGACACACAAAACAATCATATAAATAAATACCTAACTACAATTATGACAAATATAATGAAAGAACCCACAAAGTCCACATGATTGCACTTATATGTGGAGTGTAAAAATGTCCAACTCACAGAGTAAAATGTTGGTTACCAGAGGCTGGGGGATACTAGGGACATGTCAGCCAAAGGACGTAAAATTTCAGTTAGAAGGAGTAAGTTTAAGAAATCTATTGTAGGGCTGGCCCGGTGGCGCACTGGAGAGTGCGCCGCTTGGGAGCACGGTGGGGCTCCCACTGAGGGTTCGGATCCCATGTGGAGACCGGTTCCCGCTCACTGGCTGAGCGCGGTGCGGGCGCAACACCGAGGGTTGCGATCCCGTTGCCGGTCAGTAAAAAAGACAAAAAGGAAAAAAGAAAAAAAAAAGAAATCTATTGTACATCATGGTGATTACAGTTAATAACAATGTATTATATATTTGAAAATTGCCAAGAGTAGATTTCAAGTGTTCTCACCACACACACAAAAATAACAAGTATGTGAGGTAACAACTTATTAAACAGCTTGATTTAGCCATTCCACAACATACACATATATTAAACCATCATCCTGTATACCACAAATATATGCAATGTTTACTTATCCATTAAAAAATTAATTTAAAAAACCCCCACAGAGTGTCATAAAAGGATAATATGTCTGAAGGTATTTGAAAAGCATTGGTAGCTAGTGAGGAGGGTTCTCTGAAGAAGTGTCCATTTACAGTGTCAGCAAAGATGCAGGGAAAGCAGTACACACACATCTCATGGGATTATTAATGCCTTTAAGAGGACAACCTAACCACATATTATAATCCATAAAAGTACACATTCCTTTTGATCCAGCAACAGCTCTTCTAGAAATTTATCTTGTAGAGTAAAACGTGTGCAACTTTGAGCAAGATTTTCATCATAAGGGCCGGCCTCATGGCTCACTCGGGAGAGTGCGGTGCTGATAACACCAAGGCCACAGGTTCGGATCCCATATAGGGATGGCCGGTTGGCTCACTGGGTGAGCGTGGTGCTGACAACACCAAGTCAAAGGTTAAGATCCCCTTACCGGTCATCTTTTAAAAAAAAAAAAAAAAATTTTCATCATAAGGTTATTTTTTTTTTTTTTTGTCTTTTTGTCTTTTTCCGTGTCCGGCAACGGATCGCAACCCTCGGTGTTGCTCCCGCGCCTCGCTCAGCCATTGAGCGGGAACCGGTCTGTATGTGGGATCCGAACCCTCGGGCGGGAGCGCCGCCGTGCTTCCCAAGCGGCACACTATCCAGTGCGCCACCGGGCCGGCCCTATTTTTAATGGCAAAAACTGTAAATAGACTAAATGTCCAACATAGGTTACAAGTGAGATTGACACATTCAAGCTGCCACTGAACGTCACATGTTGCATTAGAATATTTAACAATGTGGGATGTTCACAATGCATAATTATGACAGGAAAAAAAAGCAGCTCACAAACAAGAATGATTTTATTAGGAAAAAAAAGTCAATTTTTCTAGATGATAAAAGTATATGTAATTTTTATTTTCTTCTGTGCTTTTCTGTATTTCAAATTTTCTGCAATCAGTATTACTTTTGTGTTAAGAAAAAGTTGTTAAAACAGACACCTGGTGATAATTTAGAAACATAAGGGTGGAAGCATTTTGGAAAGAAGATTTAAGAGGCCAAAAGCAGAAAGGAACAGACGTTATAACTTAGAAGAATATACTACAAACCTTAGGCCACGTGGAAAAACATTAATATCTTTCTTATAACGATCACAAAACTGGTACAGAAACATGCAGTAGCAATGCTTTC